TCCCTACACTAGTCATATCGTGTGATCTACATCTATCTATAGGAGTCTTGGAGTTAAATTTCTGTTTACGTTTGTGTTAAATTCAAAGATTCACTACCTGAAAAACTGTAATCTGATGGCCTTAAAGGAGCTTTCAAAATGCATCTCCCACATTTTTTTATTCAATACAGTTATCAGCATAGAAATCTTTGCCATAGCACCAAGGAGAAGATGTGAAAACATAATGATGGGGAAGAGAAAGTGCCTGCCTGAAGTTAGGGGTGATGCTTTGGCCTTCAGTTTCTTGCCTTGAGTGGGTACAAATGGGGTTGACTTTCCACTGAAGGATCAGGACCAAGGAAGGTACTTTTCCAGGTCATACTGGAAAAGAGGAGATGGCAAGTTACTAAGCCCTCTCTATCCTCAGCTTTGAGGAAGACTAAAAGTGCAGCTTTAAAGTCGTAAGTGTGTATAGGTCACAGTTCCTGGAGTCACATGAAGACAACAGTTACCTTCTGTTTAGATAACAAGTATTTCCATGAGTCATAGAATTAAACAAGGTTTGACTCCCACCCCACCCCGCCCCTCAATCTTCTTTTGTCTTAAACCTGATTGATTTTGATATCTAAAAAAAAAAATTGGCTCTAGTGAAAACTTTTTTATGCTTGGCCCAATAGAAGTGCTCCCCTCTGTGGATCTACTGGCATCAAGGGGTGGGGTTGAAGGCAACCTTTCTGTGAGTGGAGGATAATCTTGTATAGAATCACCTGTTTTCATAAACCACGTTGGGATTTCATATCTAAATTAGCTCTACTCTTTCATCAGACTTGGCTAGAAATTGGCTGTTGGCTTTAGACCCTGCTAGGGAGGAAGATAATTGAAGTGGGATTCCATAAACTTCATTTCCTTTAGGAAGCTCTACTCATAAAAATAAAATTTTTAGTGCTTGAGATGGCAAAGAAAACTTGCAAATGTGAATAGCAGGGAATGGTTGTATGTGCTGATGTGTGAACCAGTGGAGAGGCTGCAGAAAGAGTTGAAGCAGTCATTTTGGCAAGCGGTGCTGGCCGGTATAAACCAGGGCTGTCTGAAGGAAGGAGCTCTGCAGCTTCTGTGCCCCTGAATTAGTGTATTTTATAATAATTTAAAGTGTTCAAGGCAATATTTTTTACTTTTTCTCTTTTATGGGAGTACAAATTTCGAGCCTATTTTTCAGAGGTAGGCCACCGCCATTTGAGAAGGTGCCGCATATGGCAAGAAGGTAAATTCAGTCTTGCTGCTGACCTTAGGCTTGGCCTGCCCCCTTCTGCTAGCAGGGGTTAGGGCTTCTCCTTGGTGCTCATGAAGATGACTCGAGCACCCTTTACTGTTGTGTCTGCTTCACTGGACCTTGTTTATACTCTACTTGCACCATGAAGGTGCTCTTGAGATCTGCCTTAAGTTTTGAATTGCTTAAATCTATCTTGGACTGTGTTCATACTATACATTAAAAGTGCAATGACTAGTGTAGTGTCCCTGGATTATTGCAATGTTGAAAGGGGTTTGGGGCTTGTCCAATTTCCAGGATTCGGAATAAAGGGTTTTAAAACCTGCAGACTTTGAAATCTTAACCAATGCAGGGGAATTGTATTTGTCAACACTTGCTACAAGCCTTCTTAATGCTTTCCTGAAATCCATCTGATTTCAGATTTAGGCACTGTTGAATATAACTGGGGATTTGAGAGTTGGTAATTTTGTCAACAGTAAGAATTGTTTGATCCAAATCCAGCAAAAGTGTTATGTGACATAATACCTCTGAAGTTACTTGAGGAATTAAGAAATTACATAGCAGCATGAGGCTTGCTCTACTGAGTAAAGAAACTGCTAATTAATGTGTGGGGGTTTAGCTTTTCTTTATTTTTCATTTTTCCTGTCCTATTCCCTAGGTATGTTCCGGAAAAATGAAGATTTGACTCCATCACAGAGGTGCTTGGCTGTAAGGTAGGTTGTCTGAAATCTCTGAGTCTGGTTTTGGGGCTGCAGAGAAGCTGGTGTTTTGTGTGCTTTATTAATGCTCTGTGAAATTGCTACAGTTCACATTCAAGACAGAGAATTTACAAACTCATGTAAAACAGATCCATGCTTTTTGTATTTGTAGCTTAGTTTGTACATCTATTCTTCTGGAAAGTATCACTAGAAGTAGGTTTTATACGTACTTAAGAAAAACATTCTAACTTCTATGCAGTCTATGCAAAGTGATGCCATATCAGACAGAATACTTGTTAATGTTTAGTACTCATATAAAGTAGCTGGTGAAGGAACATGCTTGTTTAATTCTGTTTTTCAGTATATAACTTACCTTTTCTCCTTTCTTTATTCAGGAGGCTTGAAAATAGTGTGTTGTCCTGGGCAAAACAATCTTGACTTGAGGCATTCTCCTTAATTGAAATTATTGCCAGTTAACACAAACCTTTGTTTACTGATTCAGTTATTGAGGAAAAAAAAAACCAAAACAATTGAAGGAACAGTTAGGGAAAAACCTGCCCTTCTCCTTTCCCAGGCTCAGCTTCAGTCAAACACCTGCTGGGCAAGGAGAGCATCACCAAAGTTCAGGACATCTGTCTGAAAATGCTCAGTACAGATTGGAAAGAAATACTGTGTGTAGAATGTTTTAAGCTGTGGTTACAAAAGACACACAAACTGCTTTTCTACATGTGGTTTTTACTGCAGTTAGAGTCAGCAATAACATGGGGTATGACTTTTCCTACTGTGGAAATTCAGCAGAACTACACATTCCATCTCACAAGTTGCTTGTCTTTGAATTGCAGACGCATGCCAAGTCTACTGGAGTATTTAAGTTACAACTGTAATTTCATGGGTATCCTGGCAGGCCCGTTATGCTCTTACAAAGACTATATTACTTTCATTGAAGGCAGATCATACCAACTGCAACAGTCTGAAGCAAATGGGAAGGAAGATACAAAGTATGAACAAACGGATCCTTCTCCCAATGTAAGATGTATGACTCTTGCAGTGCTGATGCATATGTAATCATTGCATGAAAAGCTTGGTTTGCACTGTTCATTTACAGGCATAACTTCTGAGCTCTATCTGGAGTTCACTCATCAACAGTATAGTTCCCTGTTCAAAAAGCTGAATACTTATTTTTTTAAGGCAGGTTTTCTCCATGGTTTTCAGTCTGGATCTTGTGGATAAAATCAGATTAAATTGGAGCTTCCTAACAAGCTTATATGGTAAAAAGCCGTCTTTACATTAAAACAGTTCATGTGTGTTTCCTTCAAAGCATATGCTGTGCATAAAAAAAAGTCCTGGTAAGGACAAAGTGCACATTTTGTCATTCAGAAGCTGATGAGACTTAAGTTCCAGCAAGGTTACATGAACGTTCTCAAATTCTACTGGTTTTTAATGTCTTCTTGCTGCAAGTAGAAAACATTCATACGTCACAAGTTAAAAATCACTCATAGAAATAGTTTCATTTTTCTTACTTTCATTCATATAGAGAGGTATTAAAGATGGATTTTGATCTGAAGGTGTAGTAAAAGATGTACTAGCCCTAACACTATGGCTCATAATCCATACAACATAGTTCTTTTTGATTTATTCTGTTATTGGAAAGGAGACAAAATACATACAGAAGAAAGTCCTGTTGATCATACCTTACAACAGATACTGTATGATCTGAATTAAAATGAAAAGCTCCCAAAGCTTGTTACTTTTTAAATTTAATCCAATTTGTTTAATGCTTAGGGTACTGAATATTGTCTTTTCACTCTTTTCACGTTCTCTTAAATAGGAGTGTATCAGACTTTTAAATTTGTGTGTGTTTAAGATAATAATTATCACACATAAAAAGCAGAATTATCGTGAAGTCCACTGGAATGTTTCACATAAATGGCTTTTGCTAATTCCAGTGCTAGTTACCTATTTTCTGCTTATCTTGTGGATCACCAACAGTTGCTGGAGCAGATGAAGGCATTCCCACATGTAGCTGCTTGTCTTGTCCTACTATCTAGAGGTTACCATCCGTACAGCGGGGCTAACAGGGAGTGCTTCCCAATCGGTTGTGTCATCTCCAGCCACTTCAGTCCTTGGAATGTGGATGAGGACTCCGCACATTCCATTCTACCCTCTAGTGTGGTTGTAGTAACTTGCACCACAGGAATGTAAACTAGTGGCTGGAGGATGATAACGCTTTAAACCGCTCCACATGTTGACAAAGCGCATAAGCTCATAGAAGTGTGCTGTGGAGCAAGTAGTTAGGAAGGGCAAAATATACAGGAGAATTCCTTGCATGGACTGGTGCCTCATATAGTCTGTAGTCTGCACTGCCTTACACTGGCAAAGGTGCGGACGCTTCTTTTGTTTGTAAACATTGTTCTGGCTCAGTAAAGGCATCACATCTTAGGTGCTAAAATCCTATTTCTGCAGAAAAATATTGTGTAGTAAAATTATTGTAAATAGATGGAAGTAACCAAATCTGCCAGTATCACTACTTCTGGACAGGCATCTACTGATTGCCTGGTAGGACTTCCTAGCTTTTTACCACATAATCTTGCTAGTAATCTGAACAAAGTCAATAGAAATAAATGTAAACCTATGATGGATTCTTCTTTCAGGTGAGTGGTTTTCCTAAAAATGAATTGCTCTTAAGATGCTTGAAACTTGCGATTTATGCTGCATTAGCTTTTGACATTAAAATAAAGAGAAGCTGTCTATGCTGTTGATACTTATCTCCCAACTGGTGTTAGAGAAATCTGGCTGCATTTTATAACACCAGCGAGTATTGTGTGCTTTTGGAGATATAATCTTACTGCATTTGCTGCATCAATTAAAATATTCATTGTCTTGTTCTAGAAGAATGTTTAAATACCATTAATTTCATATTAATACTTTAAATTTGTTCCTTGATTCTCATGTTATTATTTCAAGAAGAATAAATTGTTAGGCAACTCAAAAAAAAATGAAATGTAATGGGGATCAGCAAATGTTAATGTAGTAAATGAAAGAAAAACAAATCCTTCAGCTGAGATCCAGTAAGTTTCATTTCTTGTTAAATATAATTACATAACCAAAGTAGTTCGTGCCAGCCTCCTCCTCGATACTGTGTGTTGACTGCATGATGTTAACTTGGTTTAGTATTTTTGCTGTGTTCATTGCATGTGAAATGAATCAAGTCAACATATTAAACCTTATTTCTTATATCCCTCCTGTTGTGCCTTTTTGCAAGCTATCAATTGTTGGTGCTCAAAGTGGTGTCAACTCTCAGAAATTAATATCTGTCTTTGTAAGTTTCTTTTTATTATGGCTACCCTTAAAATACAAGATTCCTGTCAGCAGATATCTGCTTTCTTGCTTATTATGGAGATTCTTCCTACAGGTTATAAAGTTCTTGCTTAATTACCTATGATTTTTAGCTGAGGTGCTAACCTCCTCAAAATAATACACTTTAATATAGTTCAATGTTATATTGAGTCCTTATTGATTCTTTATCAACCAAGAACAAGTTCATTCAAATAAAAGTTTTGAAGATCCTTTTCTACCTTTTTTGTATATATTTTTATCCATTATACATGTTTATACAGTAATATATTTATAAAATTCCTGAGCTCAGTGAGTGTTTTACCTTTATTGCTTCAATTAGAAAGCTGTTCCTGAACTCCATTCTCTGATTAGGTAGCTAGCTTTCAACCTAATTATATTCCCATCTAATTTATGTACCTTTGGTTTTGTCCTGGTACTGTCTTTTAGTTTAAGTACCTTTTTCCCTTCCCGATGTTGACCATATTTGGTATTTTTATACAGGTATGCCCAGTTTTTGTTCATCAAAACTAAATGAGCCAGACCTTTCTACCTTTTTGTCATAAAACAAAAACGTGTCTTCTACTCCATATGAGATCAAAGTTATCCTGTAGCTTATAGTCTTTTTAATTCCTTCACAGTTATTTTTGATATGTTGAAAACTTGAAAGAATGAATGCAATTAAACTTCAAACTTTTAAATTAGTTATTTCATCCTTGTAAAAACTGACCAACCTTCCTGTGAATGTGATTACGCATTTATGCCTTGGCAAAGAAGCTTCTATCAATAACCTAGTTAATTAAGCAATAGGAAGTGAATTAATGTTTTACCAAATGCTTTTCTATAGGTAATTGAACTATAGATTATTTTGGTGTCAGGTGAGGGCTTTTATTTCTGTGTAAATGTGTTCAAAACTTGGGTGTTCTAAACAAGCCTCAGGCTGTAGTTTAATAATCTGTTTAGGCCAACCAAAGTAGAAACTCTTGCTGAATATGGTAGGTCCTGGGTCCTTTGTTTATCCTAGCAGTGCTAACCACCACTGTGTTGTGGTCTGATTCAGATCATTTGATCCAGCCTAAAATTAACTTGTCATAAAAAACAACAAAAAAACCCAAACAAAAAACCCCCAACCCCCCAAACACCACAACACACACCCCAAAAAACCCTGAACTCCAAAATGCCAAAATTGTAGTTTTCCAACCGATTTGTTTCTTTAATCTGACTCGCTAGAAGGAAGAAGAGCAAAGCCTTGCAGATATGGACAGGGCAGGACTGGTGCTTTGCATTGCAGCCCGTGTTTGGGTTGGCCTTCAGAAACTCTGCTTCAACCAGTTCTGAAACTGCAGCTCCCAGTCCTTGTAGAGGCAGGAGATTATCTCCATCACTGTTTGCTAAGGATGCTAGTATGCCTGATACTGATCCCTGTAAGTGGTATCAGCGTGCTTGATTGGGGTTCTGGGATTTGTAATTATTGAGTGAAGTAGTGTAATTTTTTAAAAAAAATAAAATAACCAACCTCATGCTTTTTCTGGATTTAGTTGTGCTTGTCCCTCCACCTAAATGTAACCGCTAAAAAAAATTGTGGAAATACATCATTTAAATACCGAATAAATAAATAGAAACACCTTCCGCCTACAGTATTTTTTTCTACAACTACAAACTGAAAACTGCAGAGTTTAATTTTTAAAAGTACAATTTATGGCAGAGCCCTGTATTCTTTTTTCTTAAGATAAATTTTTTTGAAACTCTGATGCTTTACCTTAAAAGAAGGGCTTTCACCTCCACAGTTTAGTTAAAAACCTTCAAAGAGCCACTAAGCGTATTTTGTGTTGAACAGGGAGATTAATGATTTCTATTTACTGATAGAAAAACTGGTAAATAGTGGCAGTGACAAAAAGCAGGCCTTTAAGCAAAGATTACATTACTTGTAAGTTGCCAAAACATATTTTGAGACTTTGTGGAGATCTTCAGGTGGAAAAAACCTATTTTATATGTTTATGCTTATTTTTTTAAGTTGCATGTTAATGTTACCAGCCTATAAATAATGTTTCTCATGCTAAATTGAACATGACTTTTAATTATGGCTTAGACTTTGGAGTTAAATCCTTGCAACTGTCTTCAGAACTTTGAGGTGATGCCTTTTGGTATTTACAAATATCTAACTTTTGCATGTATCAGATATTGCAAAACAAAATTAAATACTAATTAGTGTTAATAATAACTGATTTTATGAACATTAATTTCTATTTAAATTCCTGAAGAAGTTAAGCTGACTGAACTTTCCCTCTGCTCTGGCAAAGAGAGAGATGGATTAATAGTTGCTAGAAAAACAAAGAAACACTTTTAGAAAGTTAATACCCTCTACTTTGAACTCTTGTAAGAGAGTAAAATATTAAAATGAAGTTTATTAGAAAGCAAGTAGAAACAAATAATTAACCACCAGCTTTAGCTGTTAATAGGTAGTTGCCTCCTGAATTATCCAGCTGGTTTGTTTAATTAGCTGGGTTTTCTGATCCTCTCTGAAATACCTTCTGAGATGAGCCACATGAAATATATGCAATATCCAAAGTTACCCTCACAGTTTTACAGCTTTTCTAAGTCTATTTTTTTTTTATCAGGTTATACCACTTCTTAGATCTGCGTGACTGGATGAATCTTTGATACTGTGTGTCTTGCAGAAATCTGTGTTTTCAGTTGGGCACTTAATGCTCCATTCTATATAATGAATGGAATTGCTCTTTTATTTTGGAACTAGATATGTGAAGCTGCACTCTAATGGAAGCAGGACGTTATCTTTAAAAGTTTGGGCAGGTATACTGGGAGCAGGATGGACAGAAAAAGGATTCTGGTTATCTTTGTTCTGATGCTTCAAAGAAAAATAGCTAGATTGATTGTTTTCTTGCCAAGTTTAGTGTCTGTAGGATTGTAATGTAAATTAAAACTGTAATGTTTAAATATTGGGAGTACTTACACTCAAAACTCGAAGATTACATTTAAATGAAATGGCTCTCAAACTTCTCTTTTGCAGGTGCATGGTTAGGGTGTTACTTTAGGAACTTGTACAGAAAGTGGTATCTGCCCTTGGGGTGTGGATCAGACTAGCGACTTGAAGCAGTCAATGACATGCATTATTGCTCTTTGTGTTTTATAATAGAACCTTAGAAATTTTTTCCTAAAAATACATACTCTTTAGTGTGGTGATTATAGCAAAACTGAATTTTGAGAAAATCTGAGTCGCAGGGCCTACCTGAACAATGTATTTTTACATGTCTGTGAGAATATTTGACCCCTTATAGCTTGATCACTCTAGTTGAGAAAACAGGTCTGTATAGAACTGAGGTGTTTTGACTGAAAATTCATAAATTATGTCAGTATTTCAGTTGGTTTAGAATTTAGATATTGTAATAATCTAACAGAGATAATTGATATATTGAGTTGGGCAGCAATTGAATACCTGCGTTATGCCAAAGATTATCAAAAATAAACTGAAGCTTTGCCACTGTTTTTGGAATCTCTGCAATAATAGTACTCATCTTGTCCTAGATTATATGCTTTGTGTTATGATGTCCTAACAATTTACTTGCTTCAGTAATTTGACAATGAAATAAGGAAAAAAAAAAAATGGAGTTGCAAAAGGTGTTCCCATTATTGAAAGGGTTTTTAGAGCCTCCCTATATCAGATTGGATTTGCTGTGTTTGCGAGAAGAAGTGATGCTCACAACTTAATCAAGATATCAATATTCCTTCAACCTGTATAAAATGTTATGAACTATTTTAAAGTTTATAGTATATGTTACTGAAAAATTGACGTGTGTATATACATCTGTTTTGGGAAGGAAGTTTATAACTTGCCTTTGTTTGTAGAAGATTAACAAAAAATGAAGCTTACAAAGTCTCCCATCTTAAACATTTCAGATAGCCGTGGCACAGAAACTATTAATCTGTGGACTGTCCTTACTCTTCCACATGACTATTACAAAAACTTTGCCCGTGGAATACAACATTGATGATAACTTCAGAGCTACAGCATCATGGCCTGTAAGGTTTTTCTACCTATACGTGTCTCTTATGGCTGCCAGACCCAAGTATTATTTTGCATGGACTTTAGGTAAGTATATATATAAAAAAAAATAAAAGAAAGTTCATGTATTGAGTTTCATTTCAGATGCTGCATGCTAACTGTATTAAAAAGTGACAGTGCCCTCTTGAGGCCTTAAGAAAAGATTATTACATTTATGAGGTATTGTCAAAGTACGTTGAATGGTGTCTCTCTTTTTGAGGAGCAAAACTTACCATAAATCTAAGCACAGTGTTGTGACAGTGTTGCAAATGAGATCATGGTCTCCTGAACAAACATGAGTGAAACATAAGGTTTTTTTGAGAGTTGACAGTGGTTTAATGAGCAATTACTTCTTTTGGTTTTTAAAAATTGTAGTAAATCTAGTCCAATGTACAATCCGTGATATTTTTTTTTTTGATACCTTGATTTTGGCATATCTGAAAAGTTATTCTAAGCCTCTTTCTGTGGTTAGTTATTAGTAATTTTCTTGATGTTATTCAAGCATGAAGGAAAAATTAACATATTGAAATTCAGCTGTATCATACTGTTGTTAACAGTAGATGACATTTGCAGTAGTATTTTCAGAATCTGATGGGTGACACTCCACTTTTAGTCTTTGTTTACTAAAAGTTCTAATGACCGACAGGATAACACTCATAGTCACTGATTTGAGGCACTGAATATATGATATATTTTAAAGAATGTTTTGCTATTCACTTCACCTTATTTGAAAAAACAACACATACAACAGCAAAAACCTGTATTTCTGTAAGCTGACATCTTGGAAGCAGCTCACAAAACAGATTTTATCAGCTTCCTCCTCCTCTTCAGTTTTACATATTTGTTTCATAATTCTTTTGAGAGAAAATCTGTGGGAAACAATGCAATAAAGAAAGCTTTAGTGTAGCAGAGCAGCATGACTCATTTACAGCTGCTGGTTTCATTCCTGGTCAATGAATGAAGTGCTTTCAGCTTGTCTGGGTATAGTAATTCTGGGGCCTGTTGTGGAATGAAATAATTTCAAATATTGTGCTCTTATGCACCAGTATCATTGTCTGAAAAGAGGAGTCATCTGAAAAATGAATAATCTTCGTTGGTTTTTTTCCCCTGTAATACTTCAAATGGATTTCTCCTTATGCACTTGCTAGCAGTGTAGAGCTAGCATTCCTTTGGTAAAATACTGGAGAAAATAAACTCTCAGAGAAAAATGACTCTGTCCTTTTAGCCTGCTAAATACCTTTTTTTAATCTTACTTCCACTTTACCTCATGTAAGCTTCTGATGGTATGAGTAGAATGTGAGGGGGTCCTTAACAATTTTATTGGATGTTATGCTTTTGAGTTGTACGTTACTATTCTCTATACGTAAGGAAAAAAAATAAATCTGTTAATAAAATGAATTACTTAAAATGAATACTTACTAAAATGCTAGTTAATAAAATGAGTACTTACTCTAGCTGTAGTCTTTGTACTCTAGCTAGCAAGAAATTATGGAGTTCATGTCTTCAGCTGTTTCTAATTGAGCATAAAACCATTGTCTAATGTTTGAAGTCGACATCAGTGATATCAGATGTATAGCAGCAAATGTTGTTGCTTTCAAAGATGTTTTTTAAAGTTGTTTTTGGTGAGGAAATAGAAATATTATAAATTACCCTGTATTAAATCAAATGTCACAAAGACCTCTTCCAGACTGGTAGATAACCGGAGAAACTGAACTTCAGGAAAGGGATTGTTTGAGTGTTTGAGTCAGCTGTTTCTTTTACTTCCCAAATACATTGGATTTTAATACCTTGAAAAAGTTGTTGAGAAGAAAGGAAAATGCAAAAGATACTAATTTCTCTTACCTGTCACTATTGTATAAAGTAAATTCTTTTTAATATGGTAGTACAAACTGAGGAATTTCGCTTGCTCTGCTAGTTGAAATTTAAAAGGTGACAATCTAATGACAGCCCTTTAGATGAATTCTGATCTAACAGAGAGGACTCATGCTCTGTAACTAGAGGACTAGATCTGTATTGCTTCTGCACAGCCTTTTACCTACCTCGCTTCCAGTTCCTCAGGACCCCTCTGAACTGGGAGAGGGGCTGGCATTCTTCTCCCCATGGGCACTTATTTACCCACCTAAGTGGGTACATGCTTGGGTTCGTGCCTCGTGGAGGTGTGTCCATGGTTGGGTGCATGCAACCAAGCGCCTGGCTCAACAGAGGCAACATTTGGAAAAAAAACCTTTTCCTTGTACATGGCCATGGTAATTTGCGAAGTACAGCTGAAGGAATTCTGGTGTCTGAGCTGACCAAGCAGAGGCAAAGGTGGTGACTGAAAGGGACAGGCGGTATTCAGACTGAGATCCCTTGCATTTTCCTGCATAGTCCAGATGGCAGTAGCAGCTTTTTCTCCTAGGGAAAAATATTGTTTGCTTTGAGCTATTTGACCTTTGACATGCACTGCAAACACTTCTCCTTCAGAAGTGTTGTTAGCCGCAGCCTTGTGCCATTAGTGGAAGTCTGACAAACTCTGCATTTCTCAGTAAATTACTGTTTTCTTCTATTAGGTTGGCAGTGTTCTGTGTGCGGTGCTGTGAATGTGCACCTGCTTGAAGCGAGTCGTGCGATTTTTATGCTTTAAACATCACTGTTGCTGCATAATGAAGACCAAAGACGTGCATCTGAGTGTTGAGCTGCTATCTCAAATCATTACAACCAGCCACTGTTTCATAGTCTTGATGCATCTCCTTGAGTTTGTTTTTCTGTCAAATTGCTCAGGCAAGCCTAAGTAGGTGGTGTGAGAGAGAGGGGACATCTGTACTGTGAAGTAGATAGTGCTACCTTTCATTCTCTTGCTTTTATACAAGTTTTTGAATTGAAAGCTGTTGTGTTGCTTGAATTATTTTCTGTTTGTTGAGGTGTCAAATACAGTGATCCTCAGCATTTTAAAAAAATAAACATGTAGCCCTTAAAATATGATAAATATTTTGAACAAACTACATGTTGTGCGATGCACAATTTGTAATACAGGCAGTTTATAATTAATTTGTTTCTTTTTGTTTCATTGCAGCAGATGCAATTAATAATGCAGCAGGGTTTGGTTTTAGAGGCTATGATAAAAATGGAGGTACACATTGGGATCTAATATCGAATCTGAGAATCCAGCAAATAGAGGTTTGTTTCTGGCTCTTTCAAATAAAATACGTGCCCATGTAGGTAGTTGCTTGTAATTTCAGTAACTTTTCCTACGCATTTTGTTCCTCGAGATAGTGAATATGTTCGAAGTCAGAAACAATCCGTGATATCCCGTAGGAAAGGATGGAAAATAGAGTCTGTTTTGAATATGTTCTACTTGTCAGTTGACTTCCAAAATATTTCATGGTTATAAGTAGCTGACTGAATACCTTATTCAACTCATCACAAAGTCGCGGGGTTTTTATAATTTATATGTCAGAACTTTGAAACATTTCTATAATTATAAAGTGTTAGAAAATAATTAGTTTGTTTTTACTTTCCAGTTTTCCACAAGTTTCAAGATGTTCCTTGATAACTGGAATATCCAAACAGCTCTTTGGCTTAAAAGGTATTTATTTCTTAAAGGAAAGCTTTTCTCCACTGAAGTTTCTTAGATAAATATTTCTTTGAAGATAATTTACCATTTAAAGCTAAACCTCACAAAACATCAGTTGTTTAGCAACTGCATGGGACATTCTTCTCTTAATACTTGAATTAAAGCCTCTGAATTTAGGACTTCTCTCTCAGTGTAAGCTATCAGGTTATGATAGAAACTAGTTGGTTTGTGGTTTTGGTTTTTTGGGGGTTGGGGTTTTTTTGTTGTGGTTTTTTTTTTTTTTGGTTGGGGGGGTTTGTTGTTTTTTGGGTTTTTTCACTGACATAGGGAACCCAAAACTATTAATCTGTGGAAGTGTCTCTTTTCTTCTTTTTTCTGTTAGCATTCAAAGCGCGCGTGATGCTGAGAGCAGCAGGCAAAATTTACATCTTAGCCTGTGGAAGCTCTGCATTATTTTTAGCCACACAGTCATACAGGAACTTCCATACATTCTGTGGGAGAACTTTCTGCACATCTTTCATGAGTGCATGGCAAATATCAAACCCTACAATGTGCTATCAACAAAAATTGCAAATTAATATCCCTCAGATGCGCTTTTTTCCTTGTCTGGGAAATACATATAGTGCCCACTGAACGACATCATTCTGCATTTACTACCACTTTGTGGTAACTAGAAAGTTAAAATGTGTTCTTGTGTAGTGTGCAGGTGTTGTTTCTCTTCTCCCAGTTTCTGTTTAGTTGATCTTTTATCAATAAGTGCAGGTTTAACTGAGCCCCCTGTCTCAAAGGACTTTATCTCTTATTCTAGGATGGCTGGCAACAGGATGTTTCTTCCATCAAATTTCTTCATCGTATATTCTCTTTCTTCCAGAATTTCTTCCCTAAATATTCTTCTGACCCAATTAAAAACAGAGATTGAATTTTATGTGATTATTCTTGTTGGCTCAAATAGGCAATAGAATCTATTGCTATGACAGTCAGCAAGGAAGAATTGCATGCTTGCAGGTATTGAAATGTATCCTTTAATAAAGCAAATAAGCTATTTAGCTATTTTAAAATGCATTTTAATTTAGTTAGAGAACAGAAGTTTCAATATTAAAACTTAATGGGAAAACATTGTGTTTCAACAAACTTTCCAATCTCCTAAATGGAATGAATCTAAATGAGAACTCCTTTTATTGGAGAAGAGTAACATTTCCGTTAAGAATTGAAAGGAAAAAAAATGCAAATCAGTTACTCCAGGTCACATTAAAAGAAAATGTGAAGAAAAATTAAAGCGTGTACTTTAATAAATATTTTTAAGAACAATTGTAGAAGAATCTTTGAGGATAGTCCAAATCCATATTGATTCTGCCAGAGTGAAAGGGAGAAAGGTGGATGTTTTCTTAGTTTTGTTGCAAGTGAAAGATTGTTTTAATGATTATGTATGAGGACCATAAATAGTGATACAGAATATGTATTATATTACCAACCATTTGGTTAGTTGCAATGCTACAGCAGTTTGCATAGAGGACAAGCTCATGTATTACTTTAAACATCCACTTTCAACACCTCACTTGTTTACAGTTTATAAAGTACCTAAAATCTTAGCTGTTTATCTCATGTGAAATCAGCATTTGTTCTCTTCTTTTCTGATACTCTCTAAAGAGAAACCCAACCATCAGGATTATAGGGCTTAAACCCTGATTGTGTGTGAAAACACAGTTGTAAACCACAGTTAACAGATCTACAGATCATAAAGAAGTTTAATAAACGTTTACTGTAGATCACAAAATACAGCAGTTCAAAGGTATTATTGTTACAAGCATGCAAGTTAAAATAGATAGTAGCATATATCAATAATATATATCATGATATTATTTCCTGACTGGGGAAGCTGTTATGTTCCCCCTCAGCCTGTTCATTCTTGTTTCCAAAAAAACCATCTAATTCTATTTGTCTTTGATCATGTTTGCAGGACCTCTGTGGTTCTTGTTGCTCGCTTCTGGCATCTTTCCAAAGTTCCTGTCTTCTTACAGTAGATGTAGTACTTCTGCTAAGACCTCCCAGGTCTCCCCTGACTTGTTAAAGGCAGAGTTGAATGATTTGAGTAGATTAATTACCTTTATTTTCTTTAGATAACAGTCTTGCTAATACATCACAGTATTACATCTCTCTCTTTTGCAGCAGCAATCTACTGTTGATTCATACTCAGCTGATGCTCAGTGTTTCATCCTGTTGATTCATATTCATACTCAGCCTCACTTTTTCAGTGATGTCACAGGAATGGGTACTGTTTTGTATCTTCCACTTTTCTTATTAGATGTTTTATATTTTGGCCTTCCTTCATCTTATTGATATCAGAACATCATTCAAGTCTGTCAAGATAATTTTGTATTCTACTGCTCTATCTGCTAAGAAAACAATACCCATCTCGTCCATCCCACCTCACACCCCCAAAAAAGGAAGGGAAGACAAGGTGGAAAAAATACACTTCAGTCTACCACCCAAGCTAGCAATGAAAGTATAGAACCAGACCAAAAGCAGTACCTTGCTGAATAGTTGATGCATCTTCCCACTTCCAGAGCAAGTTAATTATAAGATAACCTGAACCACCTGTATTTGAATAGATTTTCTCAGCCTGTTGTGATGACCCTAGTTCCTTGGTTTGCTCTTAGGAATGTCAAGTGAAGCATTTCAACATGATTTGTTATTAACAGATCCATGGAGGAGTTTAAGCTTACTTTTTACTCTTTGAAATTGAAGCTTGATGATTTTTTTTCTAGTATATATCTTGTCTGACTTGCATTGATATAGCTGAAATTTGGTTAGTTGATTTAATTAGTTTTGTTAGCTCCTGAATGTTTTGCAGGGGAAATTTTGCCTAAAATAGTTTAAATCAAATAAAGATTAAAGCCATTTATCAGTATATTAATGAGACATAATTAACCACCAGTCAGTGAAATATACATTCAGAATTAATATCAGTACTAGAACAGATAACATTTTGTATGTGTTTAGTGTTCTGATTTAATAAATGTTTCTAAACATTCTTCTGTAACTAATCCCAAGGAGTTTAAAAAGCACACACATACACACACAGTGCTATGCAAACTGTGCCTCTGCTCCCAAGGACATGTGGGATACAAACCCACAACTCCTTCTGGAAGTGTGGGCCCCCAGCTTGTACGCACTGCCTGTGGGAGATGTGGGTGCTCCAGCTCTGTGAACCCACCAACTCACACACCAGTCAGGAAGGCATGCCCTGAGTTTGCGTGCACGCAGCTGACAGGGATGAGGTATTGCTCCCTGTCTGTTGCGTACTGTGCTGACAGTCCCCTAGCTGGGTGCAGCCTACTTGGTGTCCAACAGGGAGGGTGCTCCATCTTGACCAAGACAGAGGTCGTGGTGCTGGTGCGGTGACTTCTGGCAGCGTCAAACCGGGTTTTGATGACTAGTATTTTGCTCCAAGATATCTCCTTGACTTGTTACAAATTTTCCTAATGCTTTTGTACTTTCTAGGCTGACAGATTCTTTGTCTTGAAAGTCTCTTCGAAATTCTTTGGTTACTGTTCAATCTAGTCAATGTTGCTTTCTTCTTTAAGGTGGTTTATTTTGGGCAAGTGTCCTCAGATAGTTGTGTGTATTATGCAGGCATGCACCTGCGCCCTACTTAGCCCCATGTTCTCATCTTAATAGGCATTGTTAGCAAAGCCCTTTGGCAAGGGGAGGGGGTTGTACTGGTACCGCACACTGAAGACCTCATAAAATAACACTTACTGCATCTATTTGACTGAAATAAACTGAATTAGCAGAATACGCTTTTGATCTTTCCCCATTCAGATCCTGTCTTTTTTTACCTTCTACTCTTTAACCTTGACTGTATCATTTGGTCTTGGCAATCTTTTGCATATATGGAAGTTGCAGTAAAGTAGTTATGTTAGTAGTGAACGTTTCGGCCCTCTCTATCATTAGCTTGTCATCTTCTTTGAATAATAGATGTGCATTCTCTTCTCTTTCTCTGTTACTTGCTATGTGTTTATAAAACCTTTTTACATATTGGTGTCTATGTCCTTTTTTAATTAAAAGTCGTTTTTGTATGTTAGCCTTAGATTTGTGTTCATGCATGCTTGTGCTGTTTGTTTTTGCTTCATGTTAGTGTGTATCTGTTTCCATATTTCCTATTGCTTTTTGGTTTTCAGATCATTAAAGACATTACAGAACTCTTGATGAAGCCATATCAGGACCTTACTATGTTTCCTATCATTCTTCCACATCATGGTGGTTTGTCATTGTGTCATTTAATGTTGTCTTCTAGACACTACCTTTCTTGGATTCCTTTTTCCCTTCTTCCTTCTAGAATTCCATACTGTAGGACCTTGCCTAATAATTGTCTCAATTTTTAAATAGTAGAGTTCAGCATTCTCCTTACTTGATATTCTCACATCCCTAGAGTCGTTAATTATGATTTCATCATCATGCTCACCTAATTGCTGTACACAGACACATTTTCAACAGTAGTCTCTCTGTTACTCAAAATTGAATGTAGTTGTTACTTTTCCCCTTCTCCTATAAGCTGCTTTCACTTTATGAAAAATATAGATCTGACTCATCGCAAGAGTTTGCGGGGTGGTCTGCGCCTGCCAGTGTGTAGCTTTTCATGCACAATTTTGGGTGGCTCAAGATCCCTTATTAACACCAACACCCATCTTTGGATGCTGGTGTATCACTTCATCATAAGTAAGTACCATATGTGATGGCACTGAGCATAGGTTAGCACTGAGGGCTTAAATTGGGAGCTGTGAATAGCTTTAAGTATGTTCTGTAAGTCATAATGTAGCAGCAACGTTATTTAATAATAGTAAACTGCAATTGCATTGCGAATGATGTGTTGGAGATGAAACTGCTAAAATTGTAAATGTATAAATGATAACTGGGAAGATTGTTGGTGATTTGTCTCATGTTATTTATCTTGAATTGTCTTTGACTTGCTAGAGTGTGCTATGAGCGAGCCACCTTCAGCCCAACAATCCAAACCTTCATCCTTTCTGCCATCTGGCATGGGGTTTACCCAGGATATTATTTAACATTTTTAACAGGAGTACTAATGACACTAGCAGCACGAGCTGTAAGTACCAACCAAGTATCTTCTTAAATAACAATAAGTTTTATAAAAGAAAACTGATCGTGTTCTGTAGTCCAAAGATGGACTTTACAGTTGATGCACAGTCTGTCTGATAGCGGTGTTTACTTTTTTAGTTATGAGAGCAGTGGGAATGATGAATAATAAGGATGGGTTGATTGGTGGAAACAAGCAAGACTGTACACAGCCTATAACATCTTCGTAGCATATCTTTTGTGGAAGCTCTTTCTCGATGTTAACTGGTCATGTATTACTATGCCATGCTGAACAGGGATGTTGTCTAAGATCATTTTGAAAAACTTCCTGATGATGAAAAAAATCACTGAAGATTAGTAGCTTAAAATTTGGAGGTCAATGCTATATATTTATAGAGTTTGCAACCTCCCCAATTTCTGTCCAGTACTACTGTAAAGATGGTAACTAAAGAATGCTCCCTCTCAACCAGCAGATAAAAATCTCTGGTGCAGTTACTGTTCACAATTGGCCAGCCAGCAGTGCAGTCACATTAACAAGCTTTTGCAGTTGCTATTCAGAACCATATGGAACCAGCAAATCTGCCAAGACATCTCTCACAGTTCTGCTTGGGAAAGCTGCATAAGAACAGAGGCATGTCTATCAGTTACTCAGTGCGAAAGAGGAACAAACAAATGGGGTGTCAGCTCAGAGCAGCATAACAGACTACTTTTCTGTTGAAAGAACCAGGAGAATGAGAAATAAAGCCGACTGCTCTTTGTTGCTATAATAGCTAGGGGAAGGTGGTACTTCAGACTTAGATTGTTACTAACAGTAATAAAACAGATGCTGCCTCCTCTTTCTTCACAAAGATGTGGATATGGTCCTTATTTGACAGAATTGACTCATTTCTTTACAATAAGTGTAGCTCCCTTCTTTCCAGACTCTATCCCAGTGAACTTTTGACTTTTATCAGCCAGGGGCTGATGCAAAAGCCAAGGTTCAGGAGCAGTTCACAGGTAAAAGTTGTTGTGTTCTCTCAGTAAGGCGAGCCCAGTCAATCGGAGTGCTTGCTGTACTTCGTCCCAGGCTTCGCTAGTAAGCTGCATTGTATTCACATTTCATATGTATCAAATCAATAGGCTATTAAATAAAAATATTTTTAGTTTCTGTATTAACAGGTACTTAATATTAATTGATAAGATATGTTAGAGGTACTTCAGTATGTTTATTATTTAACTCTGCTAGGGTTTAACTGCAAAGTTTGGCAGCTCTGATCCACACTTTCTTCTCCTGTCATGCCTAAGCATGTATTCAACTCACTCCCTTTGATTATTACACACTTCATAATCATGTGTTTACTAGTTATCTTAAAAGTTGTCCTTCAAGACCTAAAATGCTAGATTTCTCTACAAAAAATTCTGTGAAACTTCATCCGAGTTTTGCAGACCTCAGGAACGAGTTGTTGCTTGTGACCACAGGAGAAGACTAGGGGGAGATGGCAGGATGAAGGGTATGTGGCTAGAATTAGTTTTACTTAGCTTAACTAAACAAAGGCCAAGTGGAAACACGGTATCTACAGGGGAATTTGGTTAAGAAGGGTAAAAAAGGTTTTTAATTAAGAATTACATGCGCAGGAGCTAGCCTTGGGTATGTTCTTTAGAACTCCTGATTCTAAAGAAACTGAAGGTTGAAGAAGCTAAACAGTGTACTTTGGCGTGCAGCTTTTCAGAGAGAGTGACCTCATTTCAGATGACTGGAAGGTGACAACTGTGATACCAAGCTACACAAAGACTGAATTGAGCCCATCTTGGCTTGTCAGCAAATAAGAGTGTGGGCAATGATGGTAGTTCAGTCAAAGGAAGGAGGGGAGAAGATCTACTGGTGTCTTTTTAATCACGGACTTAAATAAAACTGAACCCAAACCTGTGTGGGTTATGGATTTTTTTTTTAAATATCTTTGGTATTTTGTTGTTTGGACAGAATTTTATGAACAAAAGAAGACTCAGCATAGAAAATTGAGTCATTTTATAATAGTCCCACTTGATATTAGTTATTAAGACTCCTGAAGTATGTCATTAGAATTGATATTTTGTATATTTTCATTTATGTCCTGCTTGTCCTAAAATATATCTTATTAGCAAGTATATGAAAATGGCTTACCATGTAGAAGCTTTCAGCAGAAGCATTCTGACTTTCACTTACTCCAACACTCCGTATTTACAGAATGGCCTGATAGAATACAATGCCTGCCTCATTCAGGCAAGCAGTCCAGAGTTGTGCTGGATTTAGGGGCGAATTCATTTACTTAAATCCTGCTTAAATTCCTAAGTACTTAAGTTTCTGTGATGGATGAAAGCACACTATCCTAAAATGCAAGGAATTTGAACTGACTCCTAGTGAAGTTGATGGGCATTTTGATAGTTCAAAGATACTTGACGAAACATTTAAATTCATCCTATGAATTTTGTAGAAGTGCAACAAACTCTGTACAGTAAGATAGCTCTCAAAGTTTGTTCCTAAGCTAACTTACTATTACCTGCTTTTTCAGGTAAGAAACAATATCAGACACTATTTTGTTGAATCTCCTGCTGTTAAACTATGTTATGATATTATAACATGGATGGCAACTCAAGTAGCAATAAGTTACACAGTTGTGCCATTTGTACTGCTCTCTGTAAAACCCTCTTTCACCTTTTACAGGTAAGCACATTCTACCTCTTTTTCTTTTCTTTAACTTGGAATAGACTTATTTTCTGTGGCATAAGATTTCTGAAGCTGTTTTCGTGATAATTATAAGGTGGATTTGTTAGCTGTTCAAACTGTATTTCTGATTTAGTGCTCAAACGTAGTTTGTGTTGTGTACAAGAAACTGTAAAGTGCTCTCGTTTTGCTGTCATAATAGACTTAATTTTCCTGAGGCAGGGGGAAAAAACCCACAACTGAAAACAAATCCAGGGGTACCTTTGAGATTACTAAATATATGCACTTGAACTCTTTTATAGAAAGAGTAGATAATGACTTCCCAGAAGTAACTTGTGGAAAATAAGTTGACAGCAGCCTTCTGTTCACTTTACATCTCTGTTACAGCACTAAGTACTGTGGGGGAAGACTTCATTTCTGATCTCCGCTTTATTACTTCTCTTAAAGGGAATATTAATGTCTTCCTGTCTTATGTACAAAATATGCAAGTAGGTTTTGACAGTTTATTCCTTAAGCATCCTGTAAGAGTGGTCAGAGTTTTATTGAATTACTGTTTTTGGTTTTTTTTTTTAGCTCCTGCTATTTCTGTCTTCATATTGCCAGCATCCTGGTGTTGTTGGTATTTCCATTGAAAAGAACTCAAAAAGGAAGTAAAAAGTATGAAAGCGTCCAGCCTGTGTGGTCCAAAAAACTAGAAGAAGAACATCTTTTGCAAAAGAACAGTTATTCCACAACAAATAATAGTTTCAGTCAGAAACAAGAAGTAACCTGCAGATATCAAGCATTAAAACAGTGATTGAGGAAATACTATGACGAATATATTTTGTATGTTTTCAGAAACCCATTTTTAGCACCTTTTAAAGGGGTTTGTATTTGTTTGCAAAGATGTTTAGTAAGAAAAGAATGCATTATCTAGGAAAATCACATACAATAGTAAGACTGGAAACAAAACAAATTAACCCCTCCCATGCCATGTCCCTGTGGGTCACGCCTTATATGAAGATATTACCATTATTTCAATGGGCACTCAGGACTTGCAATGTATGTCCATAGGGTCATATGTGTGCCCTTTGCTGAATGTACGTTGTGTATCCCAAGGCACTGATGGGGTGGAATAAAATTGTGTCAATCTAGGATTAACAAATGGAAATGAATTTTTCCAAATGAATGACTTGCCTTAAACCCTCTATTTACTGAAATATTGTTTCTAAGTGGGTATTTTCAAGTTTGATTTTATGTGGAAAGCATATTTCAAATATGTAATACTATATGCTATAAAGAAGATAAAAAACAGGAAATGCAAAGTCATTAGAAGGCTTCTGAATCTTTAAAAGGGAATTGCAATAAGCATCTCAGTATTTGGAGGGTTTTCTTAAAGTATCAAAACTATTACAGTACATTACAGAACTGTAAGCATTACTGATGCCAAATTATACTTAGGTTTCTTTGATAAAGAGTATAATTAGACATAGCCCTTCTGAATGGATGAAAAAAACCCCACAAACACCTGAAGGTTCACTTTTTCCAGGGTTTGATAGCTCTAACATAGGTTTCTTTTACTTTAAAGTACCTAAAACCAATAAAACACTGCCAAGTGGGCTTTGCAGCTAGAGAAGAGTAGGCAGCCGTAGGACACAGAAGACAATGTGCAAGCACCAGGGTTTCAATGAAAGTGCGTTTTTACCCTTAAATACCAGAAATACTTGTTCTAGAATAGAATTGTTTTACAAAAAAAGATTTTTAATACTTAAAGTTATTTTGATTTTTCAGGCATACAGTAGGTAGTTGACGCTTTCAATATAAAATAGCAAAATTACCTTGAACTGTAGTGCATAGGTAGTCAAACGTGAAATTGCTATCATAACCAATTTCTGTGCGCTAGATAATTGACGGCCCTTTATCCAAAGACATGTATGAATTTGAGGAAAAGCTTTTTCTTTAAATTAGAATTTTAGATGCAAAGTTCACATCATATCTGTGGGTAACATAATGAAAGAAAGAAATCCTTCAGAATATCTGAATTACGGAAGTATGTCAAGGGAATAATGCAGTGGTTATATTTATTCCAGACCATTTATTGTGATGATGGTCCCTGCTAGAGTACTACTGTTAAAGGGCTACATTTTAATTGCTTATATTCTGTATTTTCATATAATTTTTTTAAGTAAACACAAACTGTTTATCCACGTGGGTTTTTTTAGCTTTAAAACTGACACAAAATACTACTGGAGAAAAATAATGCAACTTGTTGATTAATAACCTACAAATGAATGAGAAAAACTTTGTCATAGTATTTTGAACCTTAAATTTCTCATCAAATATCTGGCACTAGTGGGGTGAATATTCTTACTACCAGAAGTGCAATGATGGTCCTCAGCTTTGGGGATAGATACTACCATGCAAAAATAGTCACAGTACTTCTGGCTTACTCTCTAAAGAACCAGATCCTAAGTCAGGTCAGAGTTGTTTCCCTGCTGTGACAGTACTGTGTCTGGCCTTTGGCTTCTCGCCTAAAACTCCAGGAGGATAACCTACCTTTTCCATATACGTAGGTTAGCGCTAACTAACCTACACAGTTAGAGAGGGGGAACTAAATACAAAATGAGAGTGGATGAGTCTGTTTAGATGAGCAGGGATGTTCATTGTTTCAGTGACAGCTTTATTATCTTTAAGATAAAATAATCTAGCTTCTAAATCCTTACTTTGGTTACCGAAGTAGACCTCCCTTTACATAGGTCACGGTTGTCCTATGCCTCTTTGAAACAGCATTATGGGTTCTTCTGTTGTTTATAAGTGAGGGCACACTAGTTTCTTTATGTTTGATTATCCTTATTAGATATGGAATCAGGAAAGACATTTTTCCACTTTCTGTTCTTGAAGGGACATTTACATAAAATAACAGATTAGAATTGCACACTCTGGCTGGGTGAGTAGAATTTGGGTTGAATTCGTGGCTGTTGAACTTGAATTCATCTTGTCAGTGCAGTCTGCATATCCTACCCCCAAAGAAGCACTTTGGATGCCAGTACGTCTAACGTGCCATTTTTCCCCTTAATGTTCTGGTACTCTTGTTTTGGCACACGTGCCTGTATGTGTGATGGAGGCTTACTAATTCTTCATTATGAAATATGAAAACAGTTGTAAGCACTCCCAGAAAATAAGCAGGTTTAGGATAGTGAAGACTGGTACTTCAGTGTGAGTGAATTCACAGGTATAGTTTTGTTCAGAATTTTTGTATATAGGGAAGTGAAAACAGCCAAGAAAATATGTACATGCATTAGTTGGGCACAAGTGGCAAGATACGGGTTTCAGAATTGGACATGACTGGTGTCTGCATGCAATACAATTTCTTTTTTCTTCATGATTTGAACCCCTTAAATAATTGCAACGCAAGGAAATTATGACAATTAATTAGTTCGGCACAGAATTTATTTTTAAGTGTAGTGTCCTAGAATTTACCCTTTAAAGGTCATTGTGGAGTATCAAAGTACTTTGAACCAAAATCTGCTCTTCATGCAAATGAATTCTCTTGGGGACTATGGAAAGAGGTTTTTTTGTTTTAATGTCAGCACTCTGATTTTAGTCAAGCTGGGGTTTTGTTGTTTTTGCTTTCCCTCTGCTTTACTAGTTTTCTGCCTTGCTATCGCACTGGATCCTTTTTATCCATTCGAAGTCAAGAGCAGCCAGCCCTGATGCTTTCGATAATTCTTAGGTTTTATACACATCATTTTGTAATACTGAATCTGAAAGGGTGGCAGTGATTTACTATTGCTCTTGCTAAGAAAAATAGTAGAAAGTAAATTTCCTAGAAATGTTTTGGGCATGAAGGAAACATGGTTTTAAGTATTCTTTTACTTATTAGCTAATGTATATCCAAAAGGTAAAAGTGTTTTCTATATTGCGGATCAGCACACTATGAAAAGTAAATGCAATATATCATTCATAATTTTATGGTGCTTTGCAGATACTTGCCTATTGTGAACTTCATTCAGGCACTTAATGAGTTAATGTTAGTTAGTAAATGTAGTCATCCTGATAGTAACTATTTGCTTGCTTAACCTTTTTTAACCTTTATGATTCTGTATTAATGAAAGAGATATAATATATTTAAATAATACTTTCAGTGGTGCCTACTACTGTTGTAATCGGGAAGGCTTTGCTAGCTTTACAGTTACAGATACGCCCTTCTTATTCAGGACACTTACTCTTCCATGGCCATTCCTTAAGTTGACATGTAGACAAGATTTCAGTAATAGGTGGCACTTTAAAATATATTGCCATGTAAAAATACTGGTATGCATTTTAATATGCTCTTGAAAACAAATCACACTTTAGTGAGAAGACTTTACGAAGAGATCTTTGTATATTCCCTCCTCTGCACTGCCTTGTGGTATGAGTTTTACCAGTATAGTATATTATTTATTACAAGAATTTTACACTTAAATAATTGTGCCATTTCCCCTATAAGAATAAGTGATATGAATATAAATGCTATGCTTGGATGACCAAATGAACACTACGTAGTTGTGCCTCTTTTGATGGCATTGATTTGGTTAGTGGTAAAATGTCCTCTGATGCAGCAGAGACCTTTTACAAGATCCTCACACGTCAAATTCATATAAAAACTAATTTTAACAGTCTGGATTTTTCTCTTAGAAGCTTTGCAAACAAATTGCTGACAATTTGTTTAAATATGTGATCAAATGCGTCCTCACGTTTGCCTGCAAATGTGTCACTGTTGCTTACATGTAAACTTTCACATGCTCAACTTTATAAGTTGGCCTTGAATGATAAAGAAATTTAAAAGCACAAGTTAAAAGAATTTAGGCTTTTGTTTCCCTTATCCTTAAGTCTTTCACTTTGTAGTTCTCATTGAATTCTGGAATTAGGTTTGAGAAATTTTCGTTTTCAATGAAAATTTGGAAATCCTGCCATTTATGTTGAAAAGTGATCAGTGTTAGAAAAACAGATGGAAATAAATTTAAGGATTTTAGTAAGATGCAGACTCTATGTATAAAAATTATACATTGGTTCTGTGCCGATTCATCACAGCATCACATGATTAGCCTTTATGTGTTTGTTTAGGTCCAGTAATACTCTGAACAGCACTTGGGAGTGTTTTTGAATTTCCTGGTTAAAAAAAATCAATTGGCTATAAGTACTTAAACAAGTATTTAAATGCTGTACTGAATAAGTATCTAAGCAGATACTCTAGTGATTGAGACTACTGTCATTAGATCACCAGGTCTGTCTGGATCTAAGCTAGTTTGCACTGTCGATCTTGATCTTCTTCATAGTCAAGGTGGAAAAGGTGGCTGTGAAGAAGTCTCTGGTAAGAACATGGCCCATCAGTGGCCAGGAGGCTTTGCCACAGAGTTCCTGGGGGGAGCTAACCCTGAGCGCAGAGCTTGACAGAGGAATTACTTGCTTGTGACCCAGGCTGCAGCTGCTCTGTGCTACATCTGCCTGCATTTTTGATATGTTTGCTGTCTTAACCTGGACATTTTGCAAACACCATGAAACCCAGGCATCTACAAAGTCACCCTGCAAGGTTACAACTGCAAATATTGCAACAGTTGCTTATTATGCTCAAAATTAAATAAAAAAAAAAATTAATTTCTTAAAAACTGGTTTTGAGATGAGCTTTTTGTATGTTTTTTTACAAAACCTAACCATCAGCTGTATCAATTTTCATCCCGTTAAATATTTAAACCATAATTTTGCTCACTTTAGGTATACAAATGTGCAAAAGTAAGTTTTGCCACTTTGTCATCTTCTGTGCATTAGCTGTATGTCCAGTGACTTAGGCCTGGTTTTGGTTTTAGACGTTTTTTAGATTTTTTTTTTCTAAATCCACATGCATATCCATATAAACATTGTGTAAACTTTATGAATTGACAAACTGTAGTTACTCATAGTGTGCATAAATACACTTAAAATAGGCCATATCAATATTTACGTGAGGCTAGCGTTGAGCCCTTCAGTTGTACCCTACATCTACGGAAGGCTGTTGGGCTCCGTTCTCGGAGGACTAAGCTTTCTGCTTCCTAAAGTGAAAATAGAATCCGTTGGTTACACTTTAAGTGGAAAGTAAAGGGCTTCTTTTGCTCTGTTGCAAAACCAACCCTTACAGGGTGTTCTGCTGCAGGCT